AGATGTTGAAATCGTGAGGAGCATGGATTGGAACCATGTTGATACTTAGAGACCACAACCCGAACATGGTGATACTATTCATTTCAATACTGTTCATGCACGGATGGATCTTATAAACGGCATTGACTATTATGGCAACATACCATTATTGGTCGTAGGAACAAATAGAATGGCTACAATTAGCCCCTGTCCCATACCATGTGGAGTTGATTCCCATCTAGGATACCCCATCAATGTTTAACTTCTTGGATATGATAGCTGGCTCTTTTAAGTTCTACCCGCGTCGTACTATGGCGTGGAATCCTTTTCGTCTTTACAAGTTGGGTTAAAAGACCTTTCAGACATAATTAGTTTGCACATTATTTTCATTTGTAGTTCGTGAAAAATTGCTTTAAAAAAAATGTGTTTAAGAAATAATTAGGCTCGAACTTAAAATCTCTCTCAAATTTTTACGACTATCAAAATGATCAAAATATTCTTATGTTACTCTTCCCAAATCTCTCTCATTTTTCGCTCCCACCCACCGCCACTCCACTTTCACTTACAACTTCGGCGAGTTCATTTAGTAGCTCCCTATATATTGGTGTCAATGGTCAGTCATAGTAATTTCAATATAAATTTAAACTTATTAGTTTTAATAGTCGTTTATAATTCATTTTTGAAAAACACTTCAATTGAAATGTAATCTAGAGTGACTCTAAATCTAGTTAGACGACGTATATTGTACCTAACTCGATAATGAAATATTTGAGTTTGAGTAATTTGGTTAGTTATGTTATTTATGCTATATATAACTCAATTATGCATAATTCAATTATGCATGAGGTCCCCATACTTTCCATCCTGGCGTAATAAATAATGCAAGATAACCTCCATTCTTTCAACACATATTAAACCCAGTAATTATGCGTCCATAATTCTTATACATTGTTTTAAACATAACATAACTTCTAAGTCATGGCATAGAGAGATTGTGCATCAAAGATTTTCTTATTTCAAAACATATCATAGCATGTCATGGCAAATCATGGCCTAACATAACATATCATAGTTCATCCTGGCATGTCATAGCATATCATGACCTAACATATCATATTATAGCACATCATGGCATCTTATAACAAACATAGTTTATCGTAACATAACATGACATTTCATTTATACCATAATATTGTTTGGCATATTACATAGCGTAACATCACATATCAGAGCATATCACACATATGACACGTGCCCAGCTACTACAACTCTTTGATAGTAGTTTAATGTTGCTCTCTAAAATTTAATTATATCTAAGAAATCTCTATAAAATAAAATAAACTTGAGTCCAAATAATTTCAACTAGCTAATTCTAGTAAAAAGGGTCGAAGTGTCAGACCCAAGTCGGATCAATCGAAATGCTAGTCTAGAGTCGTCAAAAAATGTATTCTTCAACCAATTTCAAACCGCAATCGAAATGCTAGCCTAGAATCGTCAAAATATGTATTCTTCCACCAACTTCAAGTGGAAAGAAAGTAATCCAGTCTCCCAATTTTTTCAATAGAATCTTCATTTTCTTTACTTCCTTTGGGTTATTACAATAACCCACGTTGCCAATTATGGAAACATGAAATTATTGGTTGTAGGGACAAATAGAGTGCAACCTGTCCCATAGCATGTGAAGTTAGACAAAGCATTGTCGTCTAGGAAAACCCACCACTTTTAACATATGTGGTAGCTGAATCCTAGGGTTATGCGTCGTACTATTGTGTAAAGCACTTCTCGTCTTTACAGGTTGGATTAAAAAAAAAAATTCAAATCTCTGTTTTAAAAACGCTTAAATAGATAGACAATTCAAACGACTCTAAATCTTGTTAGATAACATGTATTGTATATAACTCGAGGCATTAGGCAAGTAGTCTAATGAGTTTCGTTTAAGCACTTCGACACTTGTTTCACCTACTTTCATTTTAGTAATGTTGTATATTAGGTTGATAATACAATAGTGAGAAATTAGAGTCTAAATATGTGATATCCTACATCGGTTGGAGAGGAGAACGAAACACCCTTTAAAGGGTGTGGAAATATTTCCCTAGCAAACGCGTTTTAAAGACTCGAAAGAAAGCTCAAAAGGAAAAGTCCAAAGAGAACAATATCTGCTAGCAATGGACTTTGGCCGTTACAAAATAGATCAAAACTCATTACATTAGAGAGACACTCAATACTACTAGAGATGTACATGTGGCAGAGAATGAAATATAAAAAAGCTTTCTTCATCTTTGGAGATATATGAAACTTAGAAATTGTTAAGGATATTTAGTAATATATTATAGTTTATCATATATATCATATTTGATATTTTATTATAAGGTAAATACCTAGATATTTGCTTTCTTACCATAGTTATCTTTCCATTTATTGTTATTTCCATTTATTACTCTTTCCATATCCTTGTAATTTATTTGATTATAAATAAGATAACTTTCACACCATTTAGGTGTGGTGAATTATGCAAACATTCTCATGGTATCAGAGCCATTTCAGTTTAACAATCCCGATCTCTTATTTTCAATGGCTTCTGAATCCCCTACTCATCTTATTTTCCACCACTCCTGCTGGCTTTGACGTCGCAAGGGCAGTCTCCATGACTGCCACATGCAGAGCCGATTGATTACTCTTCGGCTCCACCCTTTTGACCTCCAAATCACCCTTCGCCATACTTTGTACATACAACCTCACCTTTTCCAACACAATCGATTTTCTCTCAACCAACATAGTCTCTTTCATTTACTTCCCAATATTCCCTTCATCCTTCACAGAAACCCTAACCTTAACCTATCAACCTTCTGCAGGGATTTACCTTTGGAATTTGGGCGCCGCACTGGCCTCTTCGCCAACCAAGTCGTCGTCGCCCTTCTAGTCAAAATTAGTCTCTTCGCCCACTGTGTCGACTTTTCCGGCTTCAACATTGTCTTTGTCCCTTGCTCTAGGTTTCCCCTTCTACTTCTTGGGTTGACATATTCTTACTAGAGCCAAGGCAGCATCGTCACTCAGCGACGATCCCTCTTCATGGGTTAGACATATTCTCACCAAAGCCAAGGCAGCATCGCCACTGAGCGGCGATCCCTCTTCAATTTTCGATGGCCAAGAAAATGTTTCTCTACGCCTCCTCCGAACCAGGTTGTTGACATCTTCACGAAAAATATTTCTCAACCTCTCTTTGAATTTTTCAGATCCAAGCTTCAGAGATTTACGTTCAATCTTCTGCAGAGATTTACCTTTCGAATCTGGGCGCCGCACTGGCCTCTTCGCCAACCAAGTCGCCACCGCCCTTCTAGCCAAAATTGGCTCCTTCGCCCACTGTGGCAACTCTTTCGGCTTCAACATTGTCTTTATCCCTTGCTCTAGGTATCCCCTTCTACTTTTTGGGTTGACATATTCTCACCAGAGCCAAGGTAGCATCGTCGGTAAGCGACGATCCCTCTTCATGGGTTAGACATATTCTCGCCAAAGTCAAGGCAGCATCGCCGCTGAGCGACGATCCCTCTACAGTTTTCGATGGCCAAGAAAGTGTTTCTCTACGCCTACTCTGAACTAGATTGTTGACATCTTCACGAAAAGTGTTTCTCAACCTCTTTAAATTTTTCAGATTCAAGCTTCACGTTCGTTTAAATCCAACGCTTAGCTTGCGATGGGGTGTTAAGGATATTTAGTAATAAATTACAGTTTACCATATATATCATATTTGATATTTTATTATAAGTCAAATATCTAGATATTTGTCTTCTTACCAGAGTTATCTTTTCATTTATTGTTATTTTCATTTATTACACTTTCTATATCCTTGTAACGTATTTGATTATAAATAAGATAACTTTCCCACCATTTAGGTGTGGTAGATTAAACAAACATTCTCACAGACGAAACTTAAAAAAGTTTCTCTTTAGAGTGGGGCAGGTCGGAGAACTGGACGGGAACGAGAATAGAATCCCTATCCCCAGCCTCATTTATCTAACGGGGAGAAATATCTCCCCACTCACTCCCTCATTCTCGGTTTAAACAAAGAATGAGAGAGAATCTCCGCCCATTTATCTAATGGGGAGAAATATCACTCTACTCCCTCCCTCATTTCCCGTTTAAACGGAGAATCTCTTCCCCATTCAGAGTCGTTCCTCACGGGACCCCTCCTTCGTATGTTAAATAAACAACTCTAAATACTACCCTTACCAAGTTTGTCACTAATTCGATCTACACACTAACTTAAGATTAGAATGTGTCAAAAACAAAATGACATTAGAGTATCTTTTATGAAATTTACCACATGCTACCATTTTAATTTTTGGCTAAATTAATAAAAATATCCTTTAATTTTGTACTTTTTGACGTACTCTTAAACTTTCAAAATTTTAAAAATATCCTTAAACTCAAAAATATTCATACAGTTGAAGGGAAAATCGTTAGTATTTTGTTAAAAAAATGTCCTTAAACTTTGACAAGTGTTTTAAAAATATCCTTGAATTGAAAAAGTTTCATTAATATTCTCTATCGTTTTTCAATAGTCTTAACTCCTTCAACTTAATAAAAAAAATTCCAACCGTCAATATATGAACAAAAACGTCTTTTAATATTACTTTTGAAAGTTCAAAGTTACTTTTGAAACAAAATATGAATGATTTTTATCCCGAACTAACGTAAAGATATTTTTTTCTTTTTTTGAAAGTTTAGTGATGTTTTTAAGTCTCGATTGAAAGTTTAAATATATTATTGAAACTTTTAAAGTTTAAGAATATTTTTTAGACAATGTACAAAATTAATTTAGGAGTACTAAAAATTTTAAGTTCGTGTTAAACGACACAGGAACATTTATTCAAACATGAGGGGTGATTTGATTTGATGTGGTTAGAAAGTTACCCAAAGTTGTGGTTGTGGTAGCACCAACAAACCCCCATTTGCTTTTATCTTCCCCTTTGTGTTCTTTACGTCACTTTTACAATTATTTAATATATAGATATCTATAAATCTTCCATATTTGTGTTGCAATGCTTCTGCTCCAGCCTCCATTTCTTTTGGTTCATGAACTCAAAGTTAAGTGAAAAAAAAAAAAAAAAAACGTTTCCAAAATAATATATATGTGATTTCACCATTTTTTTTATTTTTTTATTTTTGAAGGTTTTCGAGCTCCCAAAGATGGCGAACAACTTCATCCATAGTCCATCATCAGCAAAGATCGACCGAAAGCTCATCGAGAGAAATAGAAGAGCAGAAATGAAGGCCCTTTTCTCGAGGCTCCATTCTCTTGTCCCGAATCAAAGCTCAATGGTTTCTTTTTCATTTTTTTTTTCTTACTGTTGTGTTTGGATGATAAGAGAATTTGTTTGAGTAACTCTGAGAAAATTGAGTTGTGTGCAGGAAGCTGAAACGACACTACTAGATCAGCTAGAAAATGCCACAAATTACATAAAACAATTGAAGGAGAACGTCGAGAAATTGAAAGAGAAGAAAGAGAAGCTCATGAAATTGGGAGAAGAAAGTGCAAGGAGTAGTGAAATTAAAGCAAGATTATTGGTGCAAGTTGAAGCTCATCAAGTGGGTTCTTCGCTGGAGTTTCTTTTGACCACTAGATCTGATTATCATTTGGTTTTAAAACAAGTCCTTCAACTGCTTCAAGAAAATGGAACTCAGATCGTCTATATCAATCACTCAACCGTCAAAGATCGGGTTTTTCACAAGATAATAGCTGAGGTAAGATAATGCATCAAATTTGTCTGATTAATTACATGAATCTATATATATTATCCTCTAATTAATTACATAAATCAACTGTATTATGACACTTGAAAACTAGATGGTGGGAGAAGGAACGACCTCCGAAAGCATTGAAGGTGAAAGGATCTGTGAGACGGTGAAGAAGTTTGTTTCACAATACAAAGATGTCCAATACAATGTTTAATGTTTTGTCTACAACATCGACTGATTTTGAAGATTTATGATATCGTTCTGGTGTGGTTGAATGCTTCAAAATCTTAATGTTCAAATCTTTCTCTAGTTTGCACTGTAACGTGACGTTTTAGGTGGTTTTCTCTATTCAATAAATTAGGTCTTTATTTTAATTTAATCAATAATTACCAGGTTAAACTAATCTTTAAACAAGGAAATATATTCATAGTATGAATTTTGTTTAACGTTAACCATTATTCAATTTGATATCGAGGTCGAGATCTTTTTATTAGATATTCATTTGTATATAAAATATATATTTCGGGAAGACCTTACTAGAAGAAATTCAATAAGAACACTTTTTAGTGAAAAAAAAAAGAAGTAAGATGTTCATTATTCATGTTTCTTAAATAAGGAGTTCGTATTCATTGAGTTTAATATCTTCCATTAAGAAGTGACCAATGTAAGTAAGCTGCATACCTTCCTACCGTCACTTTAATTGTTTTCGTTGATTGCGTAATTAATTAAGCACGCTGATCATTAGTTAATTTTTCGCTTGACCATGCTCTTTCGCTCGTCTATATTGGTTTTTTTTCGTTTAATCAACAACAATTTAAAAACGAGGAAGAAAAAATTTATTAAGTAGTACTCGATCTTTTTTACCGTTTGAATTTGTTTGTCCATTTAAGGGTTTCTTAATTTTGGTGGGTTTTAGGTTGTCGTATTTAAAACTTGTTGTAACACTCGAGCATGATCAAAAATTAAATATCTTTTATAGACGAATTTCCCGAATTTTATTGAGAAGTTTGACGGCCAAGATAAATTTTTTAAAAAAAATCACATGGACTCATGAAAAATATAAAAGAAAAAAAAGTTTAGAGTTTTTAAGGAGAGAAAACAAAATCTACCCCAAATTTGATTTGTAGTTACAACTTTATTGAAACTACATCGTTTGGGGATTCGAGAACCATTTTAGAGTTTTGATTTGTTCATGTTTGTCATGAACGGAGAAAAATCTGAAGTAAACTTTATAAGTTCTAGATTACGATTCGAACTAGCAATGTTGAGCAACATCTCGAGCAACACAACTCTATTAGTAGGTAAGTTCTCTAATTTTACTCTAGCTTTGTAACCGCCTAAGCCCACTACTATCGGATATTGTGTTCTTTAAGCTTCACCTCAAGAGTTAACGACATTGCACTCTTCATCTTAAAATTTTAAAACGCATCTACACCTTTACAAGGAGTCTTTCGTTCTCATCTCCAACCAATTTTATTTCCTTCGTATATATTACAATATCTTGAGACTATGATTATAATATTTTATTTAAGTTCAAAAGATTTTTTTTTTTTTTTTTTGGAAAATGATACTATAAAATATTATATTATATTTTTATTTGTGAATATTTCCTAATCTCTTTCAATAAAAAAATATATATATATTTTTTAATACAAAAAGACATTATAAAAGGAAAATTATGAATTAAGAACCAATTCAAAAAATCAATAATTAAAGATGAGGAAAATTTTTGGACCTAGACAAAAAATAAATAAAAATTTCACACACCGACAAGAAGTGAAATAGAAAATGGAATTAGGTTAGAAAATTAATCATTATTATTATTTACTGAGTCGAATAAAAAAAATGATTTAATATTTTGAATATTACTTTTTCTTTTTCTTTTTTTCTATTTTTGTCTTTTCCTTTTTTGGTGTGGAACATTGGAACCATTTCTTTTCCTTTTAATTCGTTACAAAACCAATTAAAAAAAAAAGAAAAAAAGAAAAAAAAATGTCGTTGTCCTCTTTTGTTGCGCCCCCACCAAACAAAGAAAAAAAAGTACTGTAATCATTTCTCACTTTTTACCACACGAAATAAACGTTCCCCAAATTTCAATTCTTAATTACCTGCGAGTAAAAAAAAAAAAAATGGTTAATTTCAAATTTTTATGGTTTATTATATATTTTTATTTAGATGGGTCGCTCAAGTCAATCCGACTATTTTGTCTCACGAATCCGAAACCGAACCGATTCAATTCGGGTTCAAAAAAAAAATGTTAATTTCAAATTTTTATGGTTTATTATATATTTTTATGGTTTATTATATATTTTTGACAGAGAAGCTATAGTTTGATTCCCAATTGATTGATGAATTTAAAAAGGAATGTAACTAACGAACATATAAAACTTGTAATAAAAAATGCTTAAAAGAACATTACCATAACCATATGATTCTACCTTTTATATACACGTTTTTTGGTATCATAGATTATGGCTAACACAAAATAAACAACTCTACAATTAGTTTTTACATCAAACGACTTCAACCGCCGTCCGATTCGGCAATTTTTCGAGCAAATCAACGGTGAGCATCGACGCTCTCGGCTTCGAAAGCCAACCAGACGAATGCCCAACAGAAAGAAGAGGCATTGTCATGGTCCTTTCACATGCACTCAGCCATTTAGCTTGCATGTATCTCTGTTTCCGCCATGGCCCTAAATGCATCTTTTTTTCCTTCATGCATTTTTTTGCACCGCCGCATAGCATCTTTATTATAGTATGGAGTTTCTCCACTTTTCCGACGAATATCTCCGGCAGCCGCCGTACGAGGCGGTTGTAGTCGTCGCTCGCTCGAGCCATTTCAAACTCGGCTCTCAAGTTTAGCTCTATTATGAATCTAACCTCCCCTTTCTTTGAATTGTGTACCACATCCAAAAATGCATGTTCTCCTGTTCAATTCCATAAAACAAAGAAAGTAAGTTAGTAAAAAATTATTAAAAATTCAATCTTTTCTGCGAAAATTTTGTTAGAAATGTTTGTGTGACTCGAGAATCTACCAATTTAAACTATCCCACTCAAACGGTAAACATTGAATTGGATTAAAAAAAAAAATTCTGTTTGGGTTGAGTTAAATTTTTTAAAACTAAAAATTCAAATCCGTTTACGAGTTAGTTTGTTTTGGTTGTGTCAACTCCAATGATGTATTATGACGCGGAAATATTTGATATTTTGTGGATAAATATAATTTTTTAAATAATTTTTAAAAAAAGATCCGACCCAAATGGGTTTGGTTAAAAGCTCTATTACAGTGATTCAAGTCACCAATTCAATCAATCCAAGCTGTTTAAAAGATTTTCCAATTCAACCCGTGTTCACTTCTAAATTTCATTGAGTTTAGCTAGTTGGATGTCATGCTTACCGGATGGAATATGCTTTGAGCTTCTCCACTTGGTCATGCAAACGGCGCTATCGTAGCCAGCATTTCGAAGGTGACCGGAAACCTCCCTCATCAAACAGCTCCGGCAGCCCGACATTGCGAGGACCGATCTTCCACATCCACAAGCTCCGCCATTTTCCTGTATTTCTTTAACAGCTTCTTTCGTAGCGTTTCTGATCTTCAATTCCAAGGAATTAGTCCGACATATCGTCGTCTGCATCACGATTAAAAACCCAATTAAAATAACTCAAATATTTATCAAAAATTTAAAAAATAAAATTACAAAATAACTCACTTGTAGGATCTGCATTTGTGTCTCCCAGAAAATCCTACTTTCTTCTACGCTCACGCCGTTTTCATTTTCTTCATCATTCTCATCAAACGCCGTCGTTTCACTCTCTTGGCTCTCGAAGCTGCTCCCAAATCCCGCCGCCGACAGCCCCTCGCCGTCGTCCAAGAACCCGAAAAACATGTCGGAGAAACTCGAAGCCTCAAATCCGGCGAGATTCCGGCCGGCCATTTGAACAGGATTTTGTTGGTGGGGTTAAATGGATTGGAAGACTGTTTATATATCAATTTGTTGGGACCAAAGCGGGCCTACCCGTAGAACCGGGTGGATAAACAATATGCCGCGTACACGTGGGTTCCATGGCGATGATGTGGCGTATTCTTATTGGATATAATGGATCAAACTTGTAAACTGATTCTTGTGGACTTTAGTAGACTTGACAGCGGGGATCCACGTCAGTTTGGACACATGCAATTATGCCGATACATTTAATCAACCTAATCTGGATATGCTCGAATATCCACAATGGCACCTTTTAAATTCTTTATTTATTTATTTATTTATTCCCTTTCCCATTATTCTTTTTAGATAATGCTTTCCCAAATAAAAAAAGATATTAATAATGATAAAATAATAAATAATGTTATGAGTAAAATTTGACCCAAAAAAATATAAGTCCAAATTATGAAGAAAATCATAAATGAAAATAATAAGAATAAAACGTGAACCGAAAAATAATTTGAAAGAAAACATTATGAATATCAATTGCATTAAAAATATGTAGGCAAAAGATATTACAACATTTGGTTGGGAGGAGCTTCGGTATAGTACATTATGAGGCAATTCATGTAATATGATTTTTTCGAATGGTCACCACACAGAAAATGTAATATAACATGAGAGTAGATAAAAGAGTTTGGTATGATATGGTCATGTGGCTACAGTTAACGCACTCTGAACAAACATGACCATGAAAAAAATAAGAGTAGCACGTGGCTTGAGTATTTTAAGAAATACTCAATATGTAATCTCATTGTTGAGGTCAAAAAATGCAATCACGTGCGATATGGTGGGATCTATCCTTTTAAAAATATCATGTCATGGTCTTGGGCTTTGCTTTCCAGTTCGAGTAAAGTTGAATGTGTAGTACTTCCTTACACACGGCCTACGCAGCATACATGGAATTACGAGGCGGGCTCGTATATGTACTCCTAGGCATGGTTCATTGGGTTAGCACTTGCTAACGGGCTATCGAACGCTATGAAGGGAAAGAGCCAGCATAACATTATAGTGAACATAAATGTCGTAAGATGCACGTCTATATTAATCATAACAGGAAAATATTCTGATGCATATAAACACACAAAAATGCATGAGATTGTGTGGCTTAAAATCATGGCATAAGTATATGATGTAAATCAAATCTCTATTCATTTATAACATAATGAGTCTATGAATCATGCATACATTATTCCTATCAAATCTTTGGTACATAACCTAACTTATATGGCGTGGTGCATTGAAGTTTAAGCATTATAGGTTATTAATATCATAAACATGATTATACAACATGACATAATCACATTATACCATACCTTATAAACATGGCATAACCTATGTGGATTCATGACATGGGTTCATAAACATTATCAACCTAAACTCTCCTAAAGGTATCAATTGATCAACTTTCAATTGAAATAGAGCAAAAATAGCTCAACCAGATAAGCCGAGATAGAGCCACCGAAGTCGCCAAGCCGAAACGGAAGCCGCGTGTGTCGGAGCAAGTCGGATCGGCTCGCGGGTTTCTAGATCGACCGCTTGCGTTCGTGGAGCGGGCCACGTTCCGCCTTCTGTTGTGTGCGCGCTCGCGCGTGCGTGCGTGTGTGGAATGGTGGGGCCTAGAATGAGCGGGGTGGGACGCAGCAGATGGGAGATGCATTTTTATCCTATAAACGCTAATCCAGTGGGAGTGGTGGGGCCACCATTATTGGGCTTTCATTCGATTCATTCATCATACGTGGCTAAATCAGTGACGTTGATCAATCAATCAATCATATATGATCGCAGGAAAGGGACCCACCTGTTCCCTACCCGATTTTAATTATTCTTTTTTTTTTTTTTTTTTTGTGGCGATCATCTGTAAATTTCTTTAGCCAACGTGGCAATTACGCGGGCACAGCCGTTGATGCTGTTTTGGCAGTTTCTGGCGCGTGAGATGCCATCGCTTAATTTATAATTTACTAATTAAGTTAAAAAAAAAAACAAAAAAACAAATCGAATCAAACGAGTCATAGACATGCATAACACATGGCTCCGTTGAGGAAGAGTCTCGTCTCGGCCCCTTGTCGAGGCCGAGCAAGGGAATCGACCCAATTTCTCTTCTCTTCATTTTATTTCTAGGTTAGATTTTTCTAAGTTCGTCATGGATCGGACCCTTCTAAGATGGTTTTATTCATAATATCTTCGTTCGTTATTGGGCTTCTATTCCGAGCCCAAAATTTTCATGGCCTACCTCTCAATACCCATTATGTTGATTTAAAAATATTTACAACCGCTTTAGTTTTTATTTTATCCCTATTAAATTTGATTCAACAAAGGCGATTACGTGAGAACTTTCAATTTTATGAAACGGACACAATAATATAATTTATAATCGTAAGTATAGATTTACATAAAACAACTAAGTTCTCGAATGAAATTAAAAATAAAAAATCAAATTACTCAATCTTTCACCTGGAAGCGGAAGCGACGATCGAAGCAGACCAAGAGAGGGAAGTTGAAGAAGAGTGAAGAAAATCCTCAAAAGTTGGATGATGCAATGTATGCCCAAAACCAACGCTTGAATCACACCACATTCCGGGTGATTTCAATCTTTGAACCAAATAAGCGTTTATACTCTCATTCTCATCCAACTTGACCTTCCCTTCCAAAATTTTCACTATTTGCCTCATCGTCGGTCGAGCGTTCGGGTTAACGTGTGCACACAACAATCCCAAATGCAACACTCTCTTCACTTCCTCCTCATTCCACCCGCCCTTCTTCCTCAACCTCCCATCGAGTGCTGCAGTCAACTCCCCTTCGACGTCCAACCGTCGAACCCAATCTAGTAACAATGGCTTTCCTTCCTCAATTGGTCTCCTCCCACACATCACTTCTAGAATCAAGATACCAAAACTAAATACGTCTGATTGAGCTGAGGCTTGTCCGCTCCGAACCAACTCAGGTGCAATGTAACCCATCGTCCCAACAACCCTAGTCGTGCTAGCCACTTGGCCATGGCTGTGGACTCGAGCCAACCCAAAATCTCCTAGCCTTCCATTCTTGTCCTTGTCTAGTAACACATTGCTCGCTTTTATGTCCCTGTGAAGAACTTTTGATTCCCATCCTTCGTGTAAATACAACACCCCTGAGGCTACGTTTTTCAATATTCTGATTCGATCATCGTAGCTCAACATGTTTGTCTCGTCGCAATCGAATATCCATTTGTCTAAGCTTCCATTTTCCATGTAATCGTAAACCAGTAAGAAATTTCCCTTCTCTTTCTTACACCAACCTCTCAAACTAACAAGATTCCTATGCTTCAATCTCCCTATGCTCGTGATTTCAGATATGAACTCTCGCATTCCGTCGTTTTCATGAGAAATTCGCTTCACTGCAACTTCTAAACCTCCTCCGGCCAAAACCCCTTTATGAACTTTCCCGTTCCCTCCAATTCCGATCACATTTTCTTCACCAAATCCTTTTGTCGCTGATTCAATTTCTTGATATGTGATTCGATGCGGCCAATATTCAAATTCCCAATCCTCTATTTCAGCTCTCGCCCTCGCTCTCCTCCGGTGGTCGGCGATCAAAATCCCCAAAGTCCCAACGATAAAACAAAGAACTAGAAATCCGCCAACCGTCACGGTGGCGATGAACCATTTCGACTTTGTAAATGGGTCTTTTGGGAGAATGAAGGAGGGCAATCCAATGGTAACCAAACTCTCACTCAATGAAAAATTAGAGTTGCTAAAACTCCAAGCTAAGATGTTGTGACCTTGAACTAACTGGCCGGTGGCGCTCGTGAACCCCACGTACATTTCGTCTAAGAAAATCTCCGAGAGATTCAGGGAGGCGTTAATCAACGGCCGCCGTGGCTTTTTCATCCCCGCCGGAGCCATCGTAACGTTCATCTCAAAATCGGAATAATCAACCCAGACTTGGTAGTTTCCGCCGCTATTAAGCCGGAAACTACTGAACGAGCCGCCGTCCGACCAAAACCCAGCAACTCCGGTGAAATTAGAGGTCAAGGAATTCAAATTAATTCCGACATGATTATCATCGGGATCATTGAATTCCGGATTAGCAAACACATCGAATTCAATTCCAAAAACATGGTTATTAGGGTTTCCATTGAGCGTGAAGTTCAAAAACCCTAAATTCTGAGCAGAGGCCGTGCCGGAGATTCCGGTGGCCGGAACGAAGATGAAAACGAAGCCATGACCGGGGAGGAGATCCTTGAAAGGAGCCATGGCGAAGATGAAAGAAGTGGAGAAAGGGAAAACCGTTGAGGAATTGGAGATTCTCGTGGGGATTTTGGATGGGTACAGAGCGCGGCCGATTGAGAAACTGGTTTGGTTTGTGAGCGCAAGAACAGAGGATTCGACGGTGGCGTTGCCGTAGAGGAAGAGATCGGTGGAATTGAAGCCATTGAAGACGAAATCGACGGCGGAGATGGAGAAGAAAAGAAGGGAGAAGAAGTGGAGAAGAATTGGGAGTTTCAGAGCCGCCATTGGAGCAGAGATGAAACAGAAGAATTTGAGAAAAAGGGGAAGAAGGATCAAATACGTCGGATTGGATGGGTTAAAGGGTATTATGGTAAATGTGCTCATAAAAATATATTTTAATTTTATATTTTGTTTAAAAATATTTTAAGACCATTTTGTTAGCATAGTTACTATTCATTTTTTTTAATGTATTTCTTAACCATGAACTCTTCATTTTTATTATTTAGTCGAACGTCACAATTATTATTAATTTTTAAAAATAATAATAATAATAACGACATTAATAATGATATAGAATTTTCAACCATATCTACTAGATATTTAGTTAGTCAGGCGAACCGTCCAATTAAAAATTTTCAAATGAAAATAAATTTGAGTGGAAAAAAAGTCAAACATGATGTTTATATATAAGAGAGGTTAGAAATTTATAATTAATGGTGTTTGAAAATTCGTCTCATTTAAATATATATTCAAAATTAAAAAAAAAAAATTGGAATGTTTGACTAAGAAAATTCAGAGATTGAAGCCGCCAAACATCTGTTCAAAAGTCAAAGCTAAAATTTAATTTAATTAAATCTGTCACATTTTTTTCAAAACGTGAACGTTTTAATTATATGGATATAGAATAGTAATGAAGGTTAAGAAATTTTTTATTATTATTTTTATAATAGTCCACTCCTAGTTTTGTTTTTCTTTTCAATTGATATGAGATCTCATGATTCACCCGCACCGAAGACGCGACACACAATCAGATATTTGTCTCTAATACCATTTGTAATAGTTCAAGCTCCAAGGTGCTAGCACACCGCCCCGTGTCTAACTTTGATATCATTTGTAATAATCCAAACTCATCGCTAGCAGATATGGTTCATTTTAGCCTGTACCGTATAGTTGTTAGCCTCGGGCTTCCTCTCTCTTTTCTCTTTAAGGCTTTTCAAATGGGCTTTATTTATGATATTTTTCTTTCGTTATTGGGCCCACTAATCCGGGTCAAGTAAACGGCCCACAAAAACAAGATTTTCGAATATATATCTCTAGTTCCATTTTTTTCAATTAATTTTAAAACTTTTAACTCAAAAGAAAATAATAAAAATAATTTTCACGTACCCATTTGAAGAGCAAAAATACAAAAACCCATAAATTAAAATTAATTTGTAATTAAATAAATAAATCATTTTCATGCCTCTAATTAAAAAAAAATTAATTTCAAAAAACTAAATAATTATTAAATTGGGTATTTGTTTTTAAAATTAAATCTATAAATATGGCTTTTATTTATGGATTTCCTCATTTTATTATCTATATATTAAAAATTTTATGTTTTGTTTTAAAATTTGATAAATAAATCATTTTCATTGGTTTTTCTTGAATTTCGTGTTTGTTTAAAATTTTAAAAAATAAAAAATGAAACGACATATTAATAACCAATTAAATTAAAAAAAATTAAGAATCTATCATAAAATTATATTATAATTTAACGAAAGGACAAAAATAATTATTAAATAATATATATTTGAGTTCCAAATATCTAAAAAGAAAATTAATATTTTAACACGTTAATTACGTTTATATATCTTATAAAAAAATGGATGTTAAATTATNAAAAAAAAAAATTTATTTAAAATATGAAAAAAAAAAAAAAAAAAAAAAAAAAAAAAAAACTACATAAACGGCTCGTCTTATTCTTCATAATAAACGAAGATTCCAACTATATTATAATCTTTTAAAATTTAAACTACTCACATTAATTTATACAAACCCCTTTTAATATCTCCAATAATTCACTAATAAATTTATTTTTAAAAAAAACTATATAAAATAGCAAGCTGCCAATACCAAATAATTATTTTGTTGGTAATATCATCAAAGTCGCCAACTAAATAATTCATTAAAAAAATAAGAACAAAAAAAAATAAAATAAAATAAAAGTTACCTGAGAATATTTGCTAAAACCTCCAATGAAATTTCTCTAAAAAATATTAAAATAATAATAATAATAAATATTGAGATATTTGTCTATAATAAAATATCAAATATGATATATATGATAAACTATAATTTAGTACTAAATATCTTTAAGCGAGACATGAAATTAAATTTAAATTTTTATTAAAAGTATAAATAGACTTAGACAAATATAAATGTTAAAAATAATAAAAAAAAAATCAATATTCTAATAAGTTTTTAGAAATTAAATGTAATATTAGACGTCCGAATAAAAAATTAATATATATATATATATATATATATATATATATATATATATATATATATGAAATCGCAACCAAATTAAAATGGGAGTGAAAACAAACTTAGTATCTATAGTATTAGTGCACAACTTAATCGTAGGAACTTTAAAGTTGAGCGGCTTAGCTTGGAGCAATTTAATGTTTTGTATATTTGTGAGATCTCGTACCAATTGAAGAGGGGAATGAACTATTGCTTATAAGTGTGGAAACCTCTCTCTTGTAAGCGTGTTTTAAAACCGTGAGACTGACGAGAATACGTAACGAACTAAAACGAACAATATCTACTAAAGGTGGTGTTGGGCTGTTACAAATGGTGTCAAAGCTAGACACCAAACGCATTAGCGAGGACGTTGGGCCTCCAAAAAGTGATTGTGAGATTCCGCGTTGATTAGAATCTATCGTGAGACTAACGGAAATACGTAACGGACTAAAGCGAACAATATCTACTAAAGATAGTGTTGAACTGTTACAAATGGTTCCCGATCTAGATGAAAAATCCTTATTGAAGTGGGGAGAGAGATTTTTTCTCCTGTAGCTAAATAGAGACAAGTCCATGCCTGTAATACTCTATTGAATATTGAAATTTAAGCTTCTTAAAAAAAATTAAAAATAAATATTATATTTTTTTTTGTTTATAAAATAATATTGAATTTATTTTGAAAATTATCCATTAAAAATTATTTGAAATAAATAAATAAATAAATATATAAATATATAACAATTCTGCAAAAATAAATCGGGATTTGACGAGAATGAAGATTGAAATATAACTCAACCGATCGATCATTAAGTCGTTAAGTTCGACCTTTAATAGTGGTTACGATTGATAAACTTGTCTTAGTCGTAATTTAAATTTATAAGTGATAGATATCGATCATGGATTGACGTTAGTTACAATAAAATACATCATAATAAATAGCAAAGATAAAGTTATATCTCTTATTGACATTTATAAGGATTGTGATTGGTAGACTTAATTAATCTTATCAATAATTCATGAGCTAATAAATACAAAAAAAAAAATTAAAAAAAAAAACCGTAACAATTCATGTCCAAAATTCGAAATTTAGATTTGGCATCTAGTCATTTTAACATGTGAGCATGTTTTGTTTTCGCTCATATGTATCCGAGAAAAATTCATAGAAAATCATCAAACATAGATAAAAACAATACTTAAGGTATAAATAATAATTTTAATTTTTATAAATTTTTTTTAGTCGTCCTATTTTCATGATGAGTTTCACATAATCTCGGTTCATTCATATACTTTCTTTTACTCGGTGTCACAAGTTTGATATAAAATCTTTAGAATTCGAATTAAGAAAAAATATCTAAAATTCTAAAATTTTAAGCCATCTGAATCAACCTAGAAATCTCATTTATCAACCCGATTCAAACTTGATCATAGCTACTTCAATGACTCAAGAGTGCAAGTACAGACGAACAAGTTTATATTAAAAATATAATATGCGACTTTCATTTTAATATCCTAAACTTAAAAAAGTAATCGTAAAATAACAACCAACATTATCCTCTTAAAATTAAATAAATAAATAAATGAAAGAAAAACTAATTATATAATAATAATAAAAAAAGAAATAAAAGAAAAAACAATACTCAACATCAAATTTAAATTTAAAATAAAATTCAATAAATAAGCTAAATTAATAAAAATATTGATGAATAAGGTATTTTTTCTCTAAACTATTAATACCTTATTTAAAAAATATTTTTAAAAGTTTTAAAATTTTCAATAATATTTTTTTAACCAATTTTAAAAATATTATGAAAACTAAAAAATATTCCTAAAAATAATTTTTGGAAGTAATTTTATTGATTTTAGCTATAAAAATATCCAAAAATACAACTATTAGTTTTTGGAAGTAATTTTATTCAGTTTAACCATAAAAATATTCCAATTATATAATTACCAATAAAATAATAAAAAATAGTAACGATTCCAACTTCCAAGATCATGATTTTCTATAATTAAACTGAATATAATTAAAATTAGTAATTATGTAAGTAAAAAGAAAAAAAAACTTTTATATTCCAACCATTCAAATACAATAATCTGTTTCTTTTTTCTAAAAATAAATCAAACAATTTATCGAAATTTTATAGATGTTTAGACCTCGATTTTCAATAATTAAATTAAATACAAACAAAAATGATAATGATGTAAATAAAGATTTTTTTATATATATTTAAACTATTTAAATGTAATAATGTGTTTTATCCAAAATAATAATAATAATGTAAATTAAATAAAATATATAATTAATTGGTGGGTAGAATAGCATATTTTGTAATATTATTATTAAAGATTTTATGAATCATTATTAACATGGGTTTGGTGACAATTGTTACGGCTGTATAGGACAGATGTCGATTTGTGAGTGGAGGTAGCACGGTGTTATGCGTACCTTGGAGGTGAGATTATCGTCCACATGGTGCACGCTAGCCTACCATGGAATTTCCTTCAATAAAAAAATTCCACTTTTTTTTTTTTTTTTCACCCAAAATTCTTCCGGAAATTATCGTTTGTTGTATAGTTTGCATTTTGTATAAATAAATATTGGATGAATATTCAACCACTGGATCACCTCCGGTTCATATCAAGCGAATTTAAACTGAATGCAAAATCTTCATTAATTTGGTTTGGGTGATCCCAGATTATTCTCGATTTCAAAAACCTAGATCCATTCCCTCTTCTCTGTTTCTAATCTTTCCCGGAAAACAATTCATCGTTTGTTAGCAAGCAAAATCGCCTTATATATAGGGGATTTATACTCGTTTCCATTGGAGATTGAGATATAGATTCAATCCTGCAGCCAATCCTGCTGCCAATCCTGCTGCCAACTCAGTTTCTTTTGTATTGGCGTTGTGAAATCTGAACTGCATTTGGTTCTTATAGAGAGTTCCAATTGGCAAACGAAAATTTGGAGAAGCCGAAGAGTTTCGGCTTGATTTTGTGAGGTGGGTTTTGAAATCTTAGAGGTTTGAAGCAAATTTGAGACGTTTCCTTGGTGGTTTTTGTGTGGGTGAGTGATTAGCAGGGGGTTATGAGAAGAGCACATGTTAATTTGGAGGAACAATGACTGGAGGGTCATTGGGACTTCGCTCAGCGAGTTACGGGGCATTGGATAAACAGTTGATTAACGTAGTTTCGCCGATCCAAACAACACGAAAGCCTTCCAAAATGATGAAGGAGAAGGAGAAGGATTATTTGTTTCCTTGGATCTGCAAGTTCGTCGGTAGAAAGAAGGTTGGGATGCTGCTTCTCTGTATTGTTTCTGCTGCAGTTTTCCTCTGGGTACTCTACGTTGGCAAAGGTTTGACTCTCTTTTGCATTTAGATATATATATAAACCCTTTGTCTTTAGTAGTCAGCTGCTGCTGCTGTTGCTGCTGGAATCTTGTCTTTCGGATTGTTTAAGAAATAAGATTGGTTGTGTTTTAGTGTTAGCTGAGAATTATGTTGTGGCATTCATCAAGTTGTGTATCTTCTTATATGAACATTTTGCTTCTGTTATGCTGATGAATGTGGGATTGAATCATTGGATATTGGCACTCGTTTTTGGATGCTCTTGTTGAATAATATTCTGAGTGACATTGCTTTTACTTTTTTCTAATAATAGCATCTGACTTAGTTCTAATTTGTGGTAGATTTTTGATTCAGCTGGTTCATACCACCAATCCCAATTTTGCTTTTGTACTTATAGAATGTTCATTGGTCGATGCCCGACCTGCAAAATTTTGCTGTACCTGCATATTCTTGTATGTTTGTAATGATATGTTTAATTTTGATCATAACTCTCCAGGTGAGGATTCTCAAGGACAACATATCCAGCACGTCAGTATTAACAATAGCATAGTTATGAGTTTCAGGGAACATTCAGCTGAAGAACTTATGGATAATAATAGTTATTCTTTGGCAAAGGGGAGAGAGACATCTTCATTGGCATCACCTCCTCCTCCTCCTCCGCCACCGCCACCGCCACCGCCTTCCCTTCCTCCACCAGCACTTTTCCTGGGTTATACTCTTCCACCAGGACACCCATGTAATTATTTTACTCTGCCTCCCCCACCTGCAGATAAAAAGAGAACTGGCCCAAGGCGTAAGTCTTGTTTCCCTCTAATAGTGTGTTGAGTTATACTCTTGCACTTGCTGTATGTCACTTGTGATATCGATTTCCCTGGCTGTTTTCTTTGTTGACTATTTGGGCACCAATGGATTCTCTAAGTGCTTGTACCTTTATTAAAATTTTCCTTATTATGCTTCAGCATGTCCTGTATGTTACCTTCCCGTGGAAGAAGCTGTTGCCTTGATGCCAAACGCCTCATCGTATTCACCTGTTAAAAATTTGGAATATATTTATGAGGAGAATTTAAGAAGAGAAACAGAGTTTGGAGGTTCGGACTTTGGTGGATATCCTACTTTGGCCCAGAGGACAGATTCTTTTGATGTAAGGGAGTCAATGAGGCTGCACTGTGGGTTAGTTTTTTTTCTGTCTCCATCCTTCTTCTCGTGTTTACATCAACATGGCGTGGGTTGCTCATATGATATTTTAGGCGTACAACATTCGACCTGTTTATCCCGTTCTCTTATGGTTTTCTGTTTTTTCAATGTATTAGTGATAAGTATTATATCTCCTACACTTTACCTTTATCTTGGATTTATGTGCTTTGATTATGTATGCTTGTTGATAGGTTCGTCGGAGGAGTCAAACCTGGTCGAAACACAGGTTTTGATATCAATGATGATGACCTTCATGATATGGAGCAGTGTCGTGGTGTGGTTGTTGCATCTGCAATATTTGGTACGATTCATATGATTCTGTTTTTCACCGTGAACGTATTTCATTTGTTGCTCATCAAATTATTTTATTCTTCAGGAAATTTTGATGTCGTAAATCAGCCAAAGAACATTAGTGAATATGCCCGGGGCACCGTTTGTTTCTTCATGTTTATTGATGAAGAGACAGAAACAGCATTAAAGGAAACTGGTATCCTAGAAAGCAGCAAGAAAATTGGATTGTGGAGAATCGTTGTGGTTCATAATTTACCTTACAAAGATGCAAGACGTACTGGAAAAGTAAACTTCTGACTTTAAGTTAACATAGCTCAATTTAAATGGATGCTTTAAGAATTAAGGATATAATCCTCTCCTAAACCTTTTCATCTGATTGAGCAGAAAGACATTTCGACTGTGGTTTTCACTTTTCGTTTCATTTTCACACGTCATCACTTCATGTCTGAAACTGGAAATTTCGATGAAGGAATTGTGCCTTAAACTTATCGTTGGCCTGCGTTTTTATTGTTGCAGATTCCAAAACTTCTGATGCACAGAATGTTTCCTAACGCTCGATATTCTCTTTGGATCGACGGTAAACTTGAGCTTGTTGTGGACCCATATCAAATTCTTGAAAGGTAAATCTGATTATCTGTGAACTTTACAGGTTCATCGAAAGCTTGCTGTACTCATAGCATATTGCATTGAATTTTGTGATGGCATGCCCCAGTTTTCAATAATCTTAATCCCTGCTATTAAGATATTAAGCGGTATCCATTCTCATTGTCGAGAAAGTTTTTGGTTACAAATGTATCTGGCTGACTAAATCTTGCTCGAGATCTACCTACTCTTATTTGCATGAACGAGCAAGATTATCGATCTTTAATTTTGTGTTTAAGTATCTGTTTGACCCTTCTTGTTGCAGTAACTGAAGGATTGTATTGATGGAAAGGCATAAAGCCACTTCATGATTATAATGTACTGGAGGACCCAAGTCTGCCACTTTGAAGTTCCTTCAGTATAAATTGTTCCAGTTAGCTGCCTGTTCAAATCCTTCACTATTTGTATTAATTAGGAAGTAAGAAGTTAATGCTAGAAATCGAGTCCCACGACAGTTTAGTTTTTCCAATGCTATAAACGTTCGTAGATATCGTAACAATAACAACAACAACGATAACTAATGTTTCACACAACCTCTGTAATATGACTATCCTTTGGGTTTGATGTCTCTCATTTCTCTGTTTTGAACCCCCGAAATGTTGCGAATTTCAGGTTCTTGTGGAGAAAAAACTCTACATTTGCAATTTCTAGACATTACAGACGCTTTGACGTGTTTCGGGAAGCTGATGCAAATAAAGCTGCTGGAAAGTATGATAATGCTTCCATTGACTTTCAGGTTGACTTTTATGTAAAGGAAGGTTTGACTCCTTATTCCGAAGCCAAGCTTCCGATTACGAGTGGTATGTTATCCCCACCCTCTCTGTAAAATAACATATTTAAGGCGGCAGGGTCTTGAGGTTGTCTGTGTTGGATTATCTGCAGATGTTCCAGAGGGTTGTGTGATAGTTAGAGAACATGTACCTATTAGCAATTTGTTCAGCTGCCTATGGTTCAACGAAGTCGACCGTTTTACGTCGAGAGATCAAATTAGTTTTTCTACTGTGAGGGACAAAATAATGGCGAAAACAAATTGGACTGTCAATATGTTCTTGGACTGTGAAAGACGGAATTTCGTGGTTCAGGTAGCTTTTCGATCTTGGCGTATATGTTTTACTGAAATTTTGATGAAGTATATTCTGAGAATGTGAAGCAGTTGATGAACTGCATTTTCTAAACTCTTGTACCTGCAGAAATATCATAGAGACTTGCTTCAACAAAGGGCTTCTCCGGTGTCCACGGCGGTCCATCCACCACCACTTCCACCTTCTCTACCATCGGAACGAGCATCGAGCTTACAGAGGAAGGCTTCCTCAAGGCAAAGTCGAGAGAGGAGGTCGAGGCGTCATCGGAAAGTGAGTGCAGGTAGTACAAAGGGGAATGATTTGGGTTGAAGTTTTGTTGAGAAGAGATACTCTTTTTATGGTTCTTCTTTTTCTAAAACCCCTTTTAAAATATATAGATACAACACTGGGGCTAGGCAGGCAGTGCTCTAATTCTATTTCTACGTAGTGTTTTCATTCTCTCATTCTTTTTTTGTTTTGGACTTCTCATTCATTTTTCATTGTATATAGGGCAGACACCATACACTATATGTAATCATAATATAGTTTTTATGTGTTGCTGCCAAATTCCCTACTGCCCCTTCTTTTGATTGTTCTTGAACCTTCATTGTTCTTTTGCTGCCAAATTCTTTGATTGCTCGAGCTTATGCTCAAAGTGGACAATATCATACTATTGTGGAGCAAAATTCTTTATTGTTCGAGCTTATGCTCAAAGTGGACAATATCATACTATTGTGGTAACCTCCTGCTGTTGCAGTAGAAACTTGTTTGAAATTGCAGGCCTGTGTACCAGTATTTGTGGGTGGAAACTGCTGTGTTCATTGATCAATTTTTTATTGTCAAATGGGCAAATTTCAACGCGTTATTGGGTCTTTGTTTAGAAGACAGAGGGGGCAAAGAATTGACCTTTGAGCTGGGTTTCTGAGTTTCCAACGAAACTCCAGCTTTTGTACCATGAAAAAAGATTTTTGTTTTGAAAGAAACTTTATTAGGAATGTACTTAAGATTCAAGATTGCTTCAATTGTATATGTTTTTAATTTAAAATGTTGTGATTGATGCTTGTATTTTGAGATGTGGTTTAACTTGTGTAGGATTAGTGTGCGATTATTCTACCTTGGTTAGAGAGGGAACACTTTTTCTTCTTCTTCTGAGAAATAGTGAGACTAATGGAGATATGTAACGGGCCTAAAGAGACAATATATGTTAGAGGTGGGTTTGGGCTGTTATACACTGAGCGGTGTGCCAGCGAGGACGTTGGGTCCCAACGGGAGTGGATGATGGGTTTGGGTTGTTATACACTGAGCAGTGTGCCAGCAAGAACGTTGGGCCCCAAGGGAGTGGATTGTCGTTGGGCCCAAGGGGAGTGGATTGTCGTTGGGCCCAAGGGGGAGTGGATTGTCGTTGGGCCCAAGGGGAGTGGATTGTCGTTGGGCCCAAGGGGGAGTGGATTGTCGTTGGGCCCAAGGGGAGTGGATTGTGAGATCTCACGTTAGTTGGAGAGAGGAATGATGCCAGCGAGAACATTGGCCCAAGGAGAGTGGATTGTGAGATCAGGGTCTTGATGCCAGCGAGGACACTGGGTCCCGATGGAAGAGTGGAGAGAGGAACGAAACATTTTTTCATATATATATATATATATATATGTCGTAACGGAATATTGTTTACTGTAACTTCATAATTATAAAAAACAAAATTCATTTAAAAATCACATTCAATTATTATTAAATTATAATAAATAAACCGTTTACTGTGGAAATTAGAAATAAATATTTTTCTCAATAATCTTTTACACAGTGAACATTCTTATGTAATTAGAATTTATAAGACATATATATTATTAGGTTTCTATAATAAATTGTATATTCTATAAAAACAATAATATTTATTAATAAAAATAAAATAAATAAATAAAAAACAAAGCTTTTGTCGTTTGCAGTTTGCACTAAGCTCTGGCTATGCCTTAGCTGAAGTCAGCGGAGATTAGCGATCCGATTCTGGAGCTTTTCCGGAGTTTGACCGATCGGTATTTATGAACTCCCTCATTTGCTCGTAGCTCACCGGAATCGCCTCCATTTCCATTTCCATTTTGATCATGTTCCTCCCACGCCTCACTTCTCTGTTCAAGCCCTCTCAATTCCCATGGATTCCCCTTCTCTTCTTCCTCCTCAATGTCGCTTCAACGACCTCCATGGTCCAAAATCGCCGCCCAGATACCGACGCCCTTTACGATCAACATTGCAATCAACTCGTTCCCAAATCGCCTCTAGACACCGATCCCTCCTCCTTCGCCGCCGCTATTCCCAATCTCCAGTTCAGGAACAGTTACTTCTCTGGAGGCGACAAGATCGCCGGTCAAACCCCAGGTTCGCCCTTTACTTCTCCTAGATATCTCTTTCTTTATACTTCCTCTGTCCGTAAAACCGTCTCCCCTGGCGTCGTTAAACTCCAAGCCAGATTGGTTCTTCGAGGCTCCACCTCGTATCTTGATTCCGTCGATTCCAAGCACCGTCGATTGCGATTGGTTCGGTATCGCGGACCGAAGACTCAGCCCTGGAAGCGGAGAATCGGATTTTCCCTCGAGGGATTTTGGTCCCAATCATCTGGGAAGATATGTATGGTTGGATCAGGTACGGGTTTCATGAATTCAGGCGTTCTACAGTATGAGAATGTGGTTCTTAAGCTGAATTTTCCTACGAATTTAACCATTTTACATAGTTTGATTACTGGAACTTTGGAAAGTTTGAATGATAAAAGTGATCCGGAATTTTTCGAGCCTGTTTCAATCTTGAGTTTAGCCAGGACTACGGATTACAAGTATACATTCATAGATAACGGACCTGAGAGTGGTTGCTTGAGTGGAAGTGATAGAGATCTGAATATATCTCAAAATGTATGTTCTGTAATTGGTATGCTTTCTGATACGTTTGAATTGGAGTATGAGAGTGACTGTCATGATATGAACTGCAATCCTCTTGGCAACAATGCCGAATCCTTGCCTGTTTCAGTGAATTATGAAGGAATTGAGTGCACACATGAAGGGAAAATGCGAATGTTATTGCACTTTGTTAACTCAAGCTATCATGTTAATAAATATTCCTTTGTACCTAGTAACACCTTGATTGCTGAAGGAATTTGGGATCAGAAGGAAAATCGGCTTTGTGCTGTTGCCTGCCGAATCCTGAACTATACTCAATCGTTAACGAATGCTTCGGTTGGAGATTGCTTGATAAGGTTTAGTCTGATATTCCCTGTTGTTTTTTCTATTAGAAACCGAAGTACTGTTGTGGGTCAAATTTGGAGCACCAAGTCTGCCAATGAGTCGGGTTACTTTCCGAAAATTGGGTTTCGTGGTTACAATGAAATGTTGGTGGTAGATCATTCTCGAGTCACGTATGATTATACAGAGATTGGACAACAAAGTTCTTGTCCCCGAAGTACGGAAGCTTATGGTAAGGGAAAGACATTTCCTGATGAGAATTCATCAGACATGAGATTCTATATATCCTTAAAGAATAGGAAAGGGCAGATTGCAAGGGGTTATGCAACGCCATTCTTTTACGGTCAGCATTTGTATCAGTATGGTGTATATCAAGGGTGGTCGGGTAACTTTTCTCTGTCGGGCCAACGAGTCTCTTCAGTTCCAGTGCCCAACGATCGACATAGCTCGATGAACATTAGTTATAGGATAAGTTTCAGTGCTATTTATGATTTCAAGTTAGCTGGAGAAAACCTTTCATCAAAAAATGTGGAGATTTCTGCTGAAGGAATTTATGATAAGAATACTGGTTCTTTGTGTATGACAGGATGCTGGCAGCGAGAGTCGATGAAAAATCGTACACTCGACTGTGAAATTGTCGTCAAAGTCCAATTTCCACCTTTGAAAGCAAGTGGTATGGATCAAATTAAGGGAACCATTGAAAGCAAGAGGCCAAAGTCGGATCCTTTTTATTTTGATAATCTGGAGTTGACTTCAGTTTCGATTTCTGGTAACCAAGCTAAAGAATCCATATGGAGAATGGACCTTGAAATCACCATGGTTTTGGTTTCCAATACACTTGCATGTCTTTTTCTTGTCTTGCAACTCTTTTACGTAAACAAACATCCCGAGGTGCTTCCTTTCGTTTCGGTTTTGATGGTGGTGATTATGTGTTTGGGACACATGATTCCGCTTCTATTGAACTTTGAAGCTATGTTTGCATCAAGGCGTACTCAACAGAGCGTGTTTCTTGGCAGTGGGGGATGGCTTGAAGTGAATGAAGTGATCATTCGAGTCGTAACAATGGTCGCTTTCCTTTTGCAGCTGCGTCTTCTCCAGCTCACTTGGTCATCAAGACAGGGCAATACAAGTGAGAAGGGCTTGTGGGATTCTGAGAAAAAAGTTACTTCTCTGACTCTACCATTGTATGCAGTAGGCATTTTGATCGCGTGGCTCGTTTATAAGTGGAAAAGTTCTTACAAGAGCTCATACATGCCATTTCTCCAACCGAACCACAAAGGTTACCAGTTTTATACTACTCGACAGCTCTCGTACCGACAAAACTCTTTCTGGGAGGTTCTCAAATCCTTTGCAGGTCTAGTCTTGGACGGTTTTCTGGTACCGCAGATCCTATTCAACTTGATATTCGATTCTAAAGAAAGGGCTCTATCCTTCTCCTTCTATATGGGAACCATATTTGTACGTCTACTACCTCATGCTTATGACCTTTACAGGGCTCATCATTCAAGCTGGTACCTTGACTTATCATACATATATGCAAACCACAGACTAGACTTCTATTCCACTGCCTGGGACATCATCATCCCTTGCAGTGGTCTTCTGTTAGCTCTTATCTTATTCTTGCAGCAACGGTTCGGGGGTCGATGCATACTTCCCAGAGCTTTTCATAAACAAGGTCCTACATATGATCAAGTGCCAACCATCAGCAATGAGGAACTGTAAGATAAGACTTGAATTATTGCAAAGCTTCCTTGAGTTTTGAATCATACTCACAAATAGTAAGTTTTACAATCCTTCTTGCAAATGTTCTCGAAATCTTTCTCTGTGATATTGCGCGTAACTTGTATTGGATCGACTGGACAAACTACTGATCGGTCGGTTTAGGGTCAAAGATATAAGAAAAGGTAGGGGATTGTGTATTCTTGTTCTTGAGTTTTACCATTTTGCAGAAGCTAAGGTAGATGGTAGATTGACAATACCTTCCTGCCCCTCAATGTGTAAGTTGCTCTAACTTCTGAACAATCTGGTTCACAGGGAACTCTCCAATTGCAATGAAGACCAATTATTTAACTAACAACTCATTTCAATAAGTTCTTATGTGAGACCCCACGTTGGAGAAAGAGGAATGAAGCATTCCTTATAAGGGTATGAAATCCTCTTCCTAATAGATGTGTTTTAAAACCATGAGGTTGATGGCGATACGTAATGGGCCAAAGCAGACAATATCTGCTAGCGGTGGCGGTGGGCTTGAGCTGTTACAAATGGTATTAAAGTCAGATACTAGGCGGAGGCTGGCACACAAGATGGGTAGATTGTGAGATCCTACATCGATTCACTCTTTATAATGGTGTGGAAACCTCTCCCTAATAGGCACATTTTAAAACTGTGAGATTGATGGCGATATGTAATGGACCAAAACGGACAATATCTACTAGTGGTGGGTTTGGACTGATGCATCTAGAGTGTCATAGTACATCAAGAGTGTCATAGTAGTTCTAGAGACCAACTAAACACTCTAGCAGCATTCCATAACCAATTAATAAAATTATGAAGGGGACATTATCCATGAAACGTCTAGATGGACAAAAATGATGGAAGTAAAAGAGTACTTTTGGCCAAGCACGAGAGGGCACTAAACCAATGAAGACACTCTCACGAACATCTAAGAGCTCCGCACAATAATTTAAATAAAGGCCAATATTGCTCACAAAACAAGCCTGAGATTCATTATGCAAATTATCATCTTTATAAAAAAAAAAGAAAGAAAACAATACAGTATCATTCTCCTAATTTCTACAAACTTCCTAGTTTTAGTATAAATAGGTGTGATCGCTGTACATGTGTGCTGTCATATTCAAAGATTGAAGCATTGCCTCTCCTTTCTCGTTGAACTTGAATACCGATATCCCGCCATTGTTTATCTCGACCGATCGGAACCTAAACCACGAAAGCCATCAACACACAAACTTATTCAACATTTTGGAATTTGAAGGCGTTAAATATATAACAACGAAGATTACTTGTTACAAGGAATCCTAAATTCATTTTGGTCCACAAGGATATTCATGACAATGTTCATACCTCTCAGGGCCAAGCCCCAAGGCTGTGCAGATGAGTGCCCGCAATATAGATTTGTGAGTGACCACCACAAAATTCTCTCCCTGATAGTCAACAAAACACAAGTTAAAAAGCAGCCAGACAAGCTTCTAATTGATGGGAATAGATTGAATGAACATATCTCACAGGTGATAACAAGATTTCCCTCCAAGCTTCTCTTGCTGTTACCCAAATTTTTCGAAGAGGGTAGACGCCATTTACGCAAAATTTAGCAGGATCTTCTCGCCATGTTGTGTACTCCTTTGGATAAATCTTCTTAGCATCCACTGCCTCCAAATTCTAATCATGATTTCTATGATCGAAACAGAATGTACAGAGGGACGTATTCTAAGCAATATTTTAAGATCTACAAGGAAGTCTCAAGTCTCAAATCTCAAATGCAGAAATCAAGAGATAAACCAGTTCCAAAAAGAAAAAAAATGTTCATCTCCTAGAATTTAAAAAAGAGCAGTCGCCAAAAACGTTTTCAATGGAATTTGTGGATGATGCTGTTTAGCTTGTTTAAATGTATGAACTGATGCTACATTCAACTTTGAGTTACTTCCAAATATAATATGAACTAATGCGACATTCAACTTTGAGTTACTTCCAAACATGATATGAACTGATGAGACATTCAACTTTGAGTTACTTCCAAACATGATATGAACTGATGAGACATTCAACTTTGAGTTACTTCCAAACATGATATGAACTGATGCGACATTCAACTTTGAGTTACTTCCAAACATGATGTTCTTCATGATAACATAGTAAAATGGCAATCAAAATTGTAGTATGCTCAAGCAGGGGACAGACCATTTTTCATGCCTTCAAGAAAAAACAGATGGGCTTCCTTCAGAGAATCAAGAAAAACCAGTTCTTCTTCCCTTCCTTGCCATAAAACTTCAGCAGTTGACTGCACTCAAGGAAATAGTGGCAATTTAATCAAACAATATATCATAATGAAAAAAGAAAAGAATACACGTCTTAGGAATCACGACTCTCTACAATGGTATAATATTGTTTACTTTGAGCATAAGCTCTCGTGGCTTTGCTTTTGGTTTCTCCAAAAAGCCTCATACCAATGAAGATAGTATTCAGTACTTATAAACTAATGATCATCCATCTTAATTGGTAATTAGCCAATGTTTGACTACTCCTTTCAATAATTCTCAACAATCCTCTTTTCGAACAAAGTACACCATAGAGCCTTCCCTGAAGCCTATGGAGCCTCGAACAGCCTCCTCTTAATAGAGGCTTGACTCCTTTCTCTGAAGCTATTGAACAAAGTACACCGTTTGTTCGATACGTGAGTCACTTTTGACTACACCTTTGAGGTTCACAACTTTTTTGTTCAACATTCGAGTATTCTATTGATATGACTAAGTTAAGGGTATGGCTCTGATCCCATGTTGGGAACCACGATTCTCTACAATGGTATGATATTGTCCACTTTGAGCATAAGCTCTCGTGGCTTTGCTTTTGGTCTCCCCAAAAAAGAGAGTATTCCTTACTCGTAAACCCATGATCATCCTCTTAATTAGCCAATGTGGGACTACTGCTTTCAATAATACTCAACAACACACACAGAGATTTGGATGCCACCCAACCTTGGCGCGTGATATTGGACTTGCAAAACATCTATCAAAATTTATGTTTGCCAAGGCTCTTCTACATTTTTCTGCTTGCAGCACTCCAGTTTCTGTTAAGAGAGATAAGTCCGAGCTTCCCTGCATGTTAGTTCAACAAAAATTAGGCTAAATGTAAAATTAAATCCATGTACTAAGAAGAATGGAATCTGTACATTCAAGTTCAAAGTTGTTCAAATCTTGACCGTCTCCTCAGAAATAGAAATCTCAAATTTTCATCATCCATAGTTCATTTAGGGACAATATCTACCAGCCGTGGGCTTGACCGGTTACAGATTCATCCATGTATATGATTTCATAAACCAAACATACATGACAAGCACATGGAAACCGGTATTGAGTAATCGAGTAATCGAGCAAGTATTCTACATTACGCCCCAATGTCGAAAAGATCAATGATTAAAGTAGGAACACTACAAACCTGAACTCTACTTTCTTCATTCCAAGTGCTAAGACCATGCCTTACAAGAGTGACCTTCTTTGATGTGGAGATCGACCTTTCAGTAAGAGATGTAGTTGCTTTATAAAAATCAAAAGCTCCTCCAGTCATAGCATCACCATTTCCTAGCCTCTCTGCCACAAGTTATCCAAGGCCATGTTAACTAACAAGCAATCATAAGCCATTGAAATACATACATTCTTCAAACTCTTGCACCATGAATTCATAGAACAGTTGAAGAACAAGAGAAGAAAACAGAGGAATCGATAATATTACCGGTGGTTAGAGACAAATCTCGGCTAATACTTGAGCAGTGAACTCCAACGGAAAGACTACGGAGCAAAGGACGCTTCCGAACATACGATAAGCAGGAGCTGTAACTTGAACTTGAACTTAGAGGTACGATCGTCATGGAAACAACGCCACAAGCCATGTTCGTGAAGAAATTAGAGAATCTACAGGTTTACGATCTTACTCGGCTTCTGGATTCTGCATTTGTGGCGCTCTTCATCTTGTTAGTGGCGGTGGTGGAGAAGATTTTTCTTGCAATAATCACAGATGAGTGGTGGGGAACAGTTGAAGAAGATGGATGGTTGGATCATTTGGGCTTTGTTTATGGCTGAATCAAACTCGCGGGAAGATTTTTATCCTGAATTGTACATCTTGGCTTTTTTGTTCGGTGGATTTTTTAATTATAAAAAAAAAAAATTAAAAAAAAAATTACTTTTGCTTGTTGCTGCCCAGGATCGAACTGGGGACCTTTAGTGTGTAAGACTAACGTGATAACCACTACACCACAGCAACTTGGTGATATAATATTTATTTATTTATTTATTTATATATTTAATATAGTAAATATACTGTTTTTTAAACTATAATTCACAAATATCAATATTTATGAAAAATTTCAATTATAACTTGATTGAATTATTACAAATTGTATTTATGATGTCATTATAACTTTTTTTATAATGAAAGTTTTTCATTTTTGGTAAATAATTTTTATTTTAATTGCATATCACATTTAATTAATTTTATTTCACAAAGGATTTTAATATATTTACTTTTTTTTTTTTAGTTTTTAAGTTATATTTTAAGTATATTAATATAATATAATATAAAAATAATAAATAACTTGACGTATTTATTATTATTATTTTTATAATAGTTATATTTATTTATAAATAAAGTATTTAAATTAATAATACTTATTTAAATTTGAAAGTTTTCAAGAATATGACCATTGAGAATAAACCAGCGCATCACCGACGTGCGGTAAGGTATCTTTTAGTTGGGCTGTCGTTTTGAGGCCCAAAATCGGCCCATTTTAAGTAGGCCCATATTCCATTCTGTAATTTCGACGAGCCCATAAGCCCAATAACAAAACCTTCCTAAAACCTTGAACCTCCACTCCTGTTGCGTTTGTGTTTTCCCTGTCTCACTTGAAACAGTTCTCGTCGTCTTCTTCTTCTTCGTTTTCTTCTTTCGAAGGCGTGATCTCCGCGGATCTCATCTATGGATCAGTTCTTTTCCAAAGCTTTAACACGCTATGCCCTGGCTGGCAGGTTTTACCATACGAATCGATTGAAAAAGGCGACTCTGTACGCGAAAATTAGTCCTCTGGGCGATCCTAGCGTCAGTGTGGAGCCGGTGCTGGACGGCTGGGTTAAGGAGGGAAAGAAGGTCCGAATCGCTGAGCTTCAGAGAATCATTCATGACCTTCGCAAGCGTAAACGCTTCACACAAGCTCTTGAGGTTTGAGTTTTTCTTTCTTGAAATGTGGTATATTTTGGTTTGAGCTGTAGGATGTGTAGGAAGAAGTGAACTGTGAAAAAAGATGCATACAGTGAGAACTAAGTGTCTTTCGGATGAGCCTCCCTTTCAAAATGTGAATAGCTCAATCGCTAACTTCAAATCCTCAGGATTATGGAGAATGAGGTTATATTGACAGATATAGCTTGGGGAAATGGAAGGTACGCGGGTTTTCTATGCTAAAAAGTCAGAAAATACTTCTTTAGATTCTTTGATTCAATGACTTTGTTTGAGTAACTTCATTAGTTCACATAATATGGACCTTCAGCCATGGAGTTATGTTGTTTCTCCCTTATTTAATCTGGAGTATGATTTCACTTGTTAGGAATCTAAATCTGTGGATAATGATAGAATGACTATAGCATCATATGAGCTAGAAATGTGTGGATTTCAACAATTTATTGGGGGTGTTCTTTATAATTGATGATGGATGTAAATGCAGGTGTCCGAATGGATGAAGAAAACCGGTGTCTGCATATTTTCGCCAAGCGAACATGCGGTGCAATTGGACCTGATTGGCCGAGTTCGTGGATATCTTTCTGCCGAAAGCTATTTCAATCAGTTGAAGGAGCAAGACCAGACTGATAAGACATACGGTGCTCTCCTCAATTGCTACGTTCGGCAGCGGCAAGTTGAAAAATCTCTTTCCCATTTGCAAAAAATGAAAGAGATGGGCTTTGCAACTTCAGAGCTCACTTACAATGACATGATGTGCTTGTATACAAATGTTGGTCAGCATGACAAGGTCCCTGAGGTACTAGCAGAGATGAAAGAGAAAAATGTTTCTCCAGACAACTTCAGTTACAGAATCTGCATCAATTCATATGGTGCGAGACGGGATCTTGAGGGGATGGAGAATGTATTAAAGGAGATGGAATCTCAACCTCATATAGTCATGGATTGGAACACTTATGCAGTAGTAGCTAACTTCTTTATAAAAGCGGATCTCGCTGATAAGGCGGTTGATGCCTTGAAAAAAGCAGAAGAGAGACTGAAGAGTAAAGATAGAATTGGCCATAACCATCTAATCTCGCTATACGCAACGTTAGGAAACAAGGAGAAGGTGTTGAGATTGTGGAATCTGGATAAAACTGATACTACGAGACTCATCAATAGAGACTACATCACAATGCTTGAATCTCTGGTGAGACTGGGTGAACTTGAGGAAGCTGAAAAAGTGCTGAAAGAGTGGGAATCATCTGGGAATTGCTATGATTTTCGAGTTCCTAACACTGTCATTGTTGGGTATATTGACAAGGGAATGTGTGAGAGAGCCGAAGCCCTGCTCGAAGACTTGATGGAGAAGGGAAAGACTACCACACCAAACTGTTGGGGTGCTGTGGCTGTTCAATATATGGACAGGAGTGAGACTGAAAAATCTGTAGAGTGCATGAAGGCCGCCCTTACTCTAAATATGGATAAAGGATGGAAACCTAATCTACGTGTGATTACGGGCATATTGAATTGGCTTGGCGAAAACGCCAGCATTGAAGAAGTAGAAGCTTTTGTAGGCTCATTGAGGTCTGTGATTCCAGTGAACAGAGAGATGTATCATGCCTTGATGAAGGCTCATATAAGAGGTGGTAAAGAAGTACATGAGCTGTTAAATCAAATGAAGTCTGATAAAATAGATGAAGATGAAGAAACAAAGAAAATTCTTGGCACTGGGCAAGAAACAACTGAAGGAAGGTAAGAACAATTGCTGATTGTTTTCTTATTGAATCTTATTGTTGTTGTTGTCGATCTTAACACCTGTTGCTTGGGTTTCAATAATGCAAAATCTTATTTATCATCATGTTCTTCACATGAAAGGAGTAAAAGTAGCTGATGTTCACTTCCAATTTACTGATTGTATTTGGTGGTTTAATGAAGTGTTGGTGATTTGAGGGAAATGTGCTACATGCATAGATGATTCGTGAACAGGGAAGAAAGAAGTTAAAATAGTGAATTCAATTAAGACTCTTTATCTGGTATGTAGCTCCACGTGCTAGGAGCGCATCACCGGGGCGAAAACAAAGATAGGACCATCATCATGACCCTTTTCTTTCTTTTGTTTGTGTCCTAACTTTAGTTAAAAAAAGGCGTGTGTGTTTTTTTAAGGCTTATCCAGGGACTGCAGCTCTAAGGCATCCAATTCCTCTTCTTTCTTTTTCTTTTCTGCGGATCTCATATCGAGAGCAGCTTCTTCTTGTTCAGGGAAGTAAGATAAGTGAATGGAAATAAGAATTACTCTCGAGTATCAAGATTAGGTTAATCGTGTCTGATTCAATGAATTGTACAAATTTGGTGTGGAGGTGCGCACGAAAACTGAAACTTTTACGAAAAGCTTGAATTTGTTTGTTACATTCTAGATCAAAGAACCTAGAACTTGAAGCAGCTACGTGTTTCCTGTATTGTTTTAGTTCAGCTTGTGGTCAATATTTACATATATGAGATGTGATTCATTTGAGTTCAAACTAGATGGTGTACTCAGCTTGACATAGCTCACCACCTGAAATTGATATCTACTTTATAAAAGCAACTGTACAACCATAATTCATAGGACTCTCCTGATCATACTTCGCTACACGCGGATGTTTCCTCAAGGTCTCGAGTACATGTTCCTTGACAGCCCCTGTGCCCATTCCATGTATGATGAAAAGAACTGAATTCGGTCCTCTCGAAGAGATCGCCATATCAAGGTGGTACGAAGCTTCTTCTATTCGCATGCCACGTAAGTCAACCGTGTTCTTTGAAGTCTGCACAACGGCGCCATAAGACTCTCCATCTGAAGTACTGACCAATTCTCTGCTCCGTCGACCCTAAATTGTCGACAATGATGGTTAGATTTGCATCATTGTGTATGCATCACAGGACAAATAGTATTAGATTCACAAAAGATGGAGTCTAGAGAATGATTGAATAGAAGAGAAGATACCTGTTTCTTAGAGTATGAAGGAGACTTAGCAGCAGCAGCTGCCTTTTCACTGTTTGGAAGAGCTTTGACGCTTCTTTTCTTCACTCGGGCCTTGATTTTACCATACTGAACAAGGATTGTTTCCTCATCATCAGACGTTTCAACAACAGTAGCTAACTTGTTCCCAAGACCAGTTACAAACACCTGCTCGCCCAACTGGGGTGTATAAGAACTTTTATTTGCAACAACGGGGCGGGAATTGTCGGTTGGACGACAAGCTTCACAAATTGAAGCGATTTTGGATTCTCCCTCCCTGATCAATGAATTGAATTGATCAGCCCCAACAATTTTCAGTTTCTCTTCAAACTCTTGTACAACAGTGTTTATCTTGGACTTTATTGCCTCAGTTTCTTGTCGAGCTCTTCTGGTTTCAAGGGCAATAAGAGCTCTCTCACGCTTATCAAGATCTTCTGCCTCATCCCGAATCTGCATCAATGATTAAAGAGAGAGATGAGCAACACCATAATGTGTTGGAATGCCATCGGTTCTGCATTCTTTATATTGAGAAATAGTAAATCAGTCGCATGAAATCTTTTCAACTTTCTCCAATGGTATACTTCGTTGAAACCTTTCAAAAGTCCTTTCTAAATGTCACCAGTGGCATAATGCAACTGGCAAAGCCACCTGAATTTTACTAGATGCCAGTATACTTGAAATGATATTACTTTTTTCTTATAGATAGGACATAATTACATTTCTTTACGCTTTTTTCCAGTTGGCTATGCAACCAATCGGGAATTTTAGTTCTCTAGATGCTGAAAAATGTATGAGATCCGGGGAACGAAATATTTTCTATAAAGGTATGGAAACCTCTCCTCTTTGACAAGTTTTAAAACCTTGAGGGGGAGTTTTAAACCTGGAAGGGAATCTTAAAACCTTAAGGGGAAGTCCAAAAGGAAAAGTCCCAAGAGGACAATATCTACTAGTAGTGGACTTGGGCTGTTACAAATGGTATCAGAGCCAGACACCAGACAGTGTGCCAGCGAAGACGACGGGCCTGAAGAGAGTGGACTGTGAGATGAGGAAGTGGATCGTGAGATCCTACATTGGTTGAAGAGGGGAACGAAGCATTCCCTATAAGGGTGTGGAAACCTCTTCCTAGTAGACGCGTTTTAAAACCTTGAGGAGAAGTCCAGAAGGGCTGTCCAAAGAGGACAATATCGGAAAAGCCTAATATCTGCTAGCGGTGGGTTTGGACTGTTACATCAGTTATAATGATCCGCCCAACGAATGATGCACCCGTTATTAGGTAAGAACTCTACCTTGATCACAGGGCTAATACAACCAAGCAAAAGACCAATTGACCACATATTAAAGGTATTACTTAACAACATAAGGCGATAAGATACATAAAGCTGCACACAAGATATGAATCAATTTGCCTCGTTATAAAGGCAGCAGATAAATGGAAGCCAGCACATTCACAAATTTCTAAAGCTTTACCTCGTTATAAAGTGCTGAAATTTCTGCATGAAGTAAAGCAGCTTCCCTTCTTTGAGCTTCCAACTTATCTCTTTCCTCCATTAGTGATTTAAAGAGCAAACCTCTACGTTCATCCTGTCTTTCTGGTGTAAGACTCACCATCCATTTCTTTGCACGTTCTATTATGGCGGGATCAAATCCAATTGATTGAGCAATACTCAAAGCATTCGACTCTCCAGTACTACCCCAAAGGATCTTGTAGGTAGGTTTTAAAGTTTCGAGTGAAAATTCCACAGCAGCGTTCTCGAACGAAGAATCACTATCTTTTATGCGAGTCAAATCCGCATAATGAGTAGTCACAATAGCTAGATTAACACATTTCTTGAGATAATACAAAATGCTGGTAGAGAGAGCCACACCTTCTGAAGGATCAGTTCCACTGCCAATTTCATCAATAAGGACTAAGGATTCATCTGAGGATACTTCTAATATTTTACAGATCCGCGAGATGTGCCCGCTAAAGGTAGAGAGATTTTGTTCTAGAGACTTCAATCAAGAAAACAATGTTAAAACTTATACTTAACTCAAAAAGCTGATAATCTATAAGATTACAACAAGAAGACTAGAGAATTCTACCTGGTGATCTCCAATGTCAGCCAGAACAAGATCAAACCATGGAAGTTTTGGGAGGTTCTTGGCAGGCAAGTACATGCCAGCCTTAGCCATAAGAGATGCTAGGCCAAGAGTCTTAATGGATGCAGTTTTACCTCCTGTATTAGGCCCTGAAATCACAACCACTCTAGTTTGACGCTTAATTTTAATGTCTATTGGCACTGGAAAATCAGTGACGCTTCCTGAAAAACCTTCACTATTGATTGCATTATCTCTCTTGTCAAATTGACCTACATTTGCAGAGGAAGATAAAACATTATCTGATGAACTTTTAAGAGAGTAGTTGAGCAGCAATGGGTTCTGAATAGCATCAATATCTACTGATAATGTATTGTCATTTATACTAGAATTTAAGCCTTCATACCCCTTGGATGAGAAACATGGACAAACCCCACTCATCCATCGACCATAAGCAGCCCTGGCCAAAGCAAGATCAAGTTCAAGAATTCTATCCAACAGATATCTTATATGATTCTCTGACTCTGAGATTTCATTTGTAAGCATACTCAAAATGGCTATTTCCTCAGCCTTCTCCGAATTTGATAGCCTAACATCCATGTTGTTCAAATCCACTGCCTCCTTGGGTTCTATAAAGTATGTCGCACCAGAACTACTGGCGCTCAAGACAATGGCGCCTGGTACTAAATTCTTGTGAGTAGCCCTAACAGCAACACACATTCTAGCTCGGCGCTTTGTTATCAGAGGCCTATCAATCCCACCAGCCTGATATATCTTAGAGGATACTGCCTTTAAAAGAGAATCTAACTCTTCCATATTCCTCTTCTTCTCCAAACGAATCAGCTCCAAGTCCTCACTAGCTCTATCAAGAACAATTGAGTAATTGCAATCGATGCAAAACTCAATTTTCCTCTCCAATTCCACCAGGAAATTGCAATTCTGAAGTATTTCAAGCAAGGGCATGAACCTAATCAATATAATTAGACAGAATAAATCGTATTAACTTCTAACCACAATTATATGTTCATGTTTCATTTCATCAACTAAACTTTTCAGTGACAGGAGAAAAGTGAGCAAGGATTTCATCTCAGGGCTCAAGACGATCTGAATTCTTCTTCTCCTCGTGTCCAAGATCATTTTTCTATGTAAATATGTATCATATAGTAGTTTTTCTTCAACCAGAAATAGCTCTATAGAAGTTTATGGAATCTCTAGACGAATGCCAATTAAATAAAAAACAAACGATGAAGAACAAATTTCACGAGAACATTACCTATCTGAAGAATGGCCATTACCAGCCAAAGCCTGCAGTTTCTCGAACAACTCCCTAGCAGCTTTCAGAGAACGTCGCACCGAACACAGTTCAGCAATAGTAAGCAATTTACCAGAAGTCGCCGAATTCAAAATTCCAGAGACATCTTCGATTCCTGAAAAATCCAACTGTCGAGAAACCGACACGGCTTCAGCAGCAGTCGTCTGATCAAGAAGCTTCTGGCTCTCCTCTCTCGTCCGGCCGAAGCGTATGTTAGCGTTCTGAGCTACGTCAAATCCCATGGAAGTCGACGTAAAAATGGAGAGTTGCTTACAGATAGAACTCCATTCTAGAACCCTGAGGGTTTCGTTCTGGAGGGCCTGTGAAGTAGAGATTCGAACGGAAACAGATTCATGAGTGGCGGAGAGTGAGAAGGCGGGCCTGAGAACTCTGGCAAAGATTCGAGGAGTTTTTCTAATGGTGATGAAGCTGTAGCTGATCTCCATGGGAAGGAGAAGAAAGTGGAAGGATTAAGTGGGTGAGTGAAAATCGGATTTTAAAGCAGACAGCTTATCCACTTCAATCGTTGAGCTCTCTCCATTGGCGTTGGTTTCAACAGCTTTCAATCTAGACTTCTTTTTTTTTTATATATATATAATTTTTTTGCCTTTTCATTTATTCGGTACTAAAAAAAAATCTCATACTTCATCGTCAAGTAGTAGATATTATCTTCTTTTGATTTTTCCTTTCGAACTTTCGTTCAAAGTTTTTTCCTTTCGGGCTTTCTCTCAAGTGCAAGGGAGAACAAATATTATTTTAGGCTTTTCTTTTCAAACTTTCATTCAAGTTTTTTTCCCTTTCGGGCTTTCCTTCAAGTGCTAGGGAGAGGTTTCCACGTAAGAAATGATTCGTTCCCCTCTCCAATCAATGTGGGATTTTACAATCCACCCTTCAAGTGCTAGGGAGAGGTTTCCACGTAAGAAATGATTCGTTCCCCTCTCCAATCAATGTGGGATTTTACAATCCACCCCATTGGGGGCCTGACATCTTCGCTGGCACACTGCCCGATTTTTTTTCCCTTTTGGGCTTCCCCTCAAGTACTAGCTGCCCGATTTTTTTTCCCTTTTGGGCTTCCCCTCAAGTACTAGGGAGAGGTTTCCACGTAAGAAATGTTTCGTTCTCCTTTCTAATCAATGTGGGATCTCACAATCCACCCCATTGGAGACCCGACATCCTCACTAGCACACTACCTGATTTCTAGCTCTTATACCATTTGTAAAAATTCAAGCTCACTGCTAGAGATATTGTCCTCTTTGGGTTTTCTTTCCACATTTCTCCTCAAAATTTTAAAGCGCTGCTAAGGAGAAGTTTCCACACCCTTATGTTTCGTTTCCCTCTCTAAGATAACACAATGTTAGCATAGAAATTTTGGTTTCGAAATTCTAAGTTAAGAAAGTCGATCCACACGATTACATACAAATAAATATCAATTCACATTAGAAAATAGAGAAAGAGCGATGTGTTCAAGGTTAACGCTTCTTTAATGTAAACATTTTAAGATAGATTCCCATGGCCTATAGGAGTACCATACATCAGTTGGATCAAATTTGGTCAAGTAACCGATCTCCCAACAAAGAGTGCAGTTCCAACATCCTACAGCTGATCTTATTATATAAATGAAGAAGTCTTGCAAAGATATGAGTACCCTTCTTCATGCTCTATAACAAACTACTTTTAGAAAATCTGAACTTTTATTCTTTACATTATAAGCGTTTGAAAAGTACTAATGGAGCCATAGCAATAGAGAGCATGAACATTAATGTGCAAGGATTGGAGTACCACAGGCAGCGGGAGCGTGCTTGTCTTCATAGACGAGTTGTCCCCTTACGAAAGTGGCCAAAACTTTTCCAGACAGTTTCATTCCCATATAGGCTGAAATGCTCTATGTTGAAAGAATGACAAAAAGTGACACTAAGTTAGCATAACTTCATAACAAGCAAACTCGAACTTTTTTGCATTCGAAAACGCATGATAAATGCTGGCCTATATGGTAGAGAAAGGAGAATTTTGTTTCATACAGAAAACTTTCATCTAAAAGATTCTCTGTCCATGGAGTATGTGCAGTTTATATTTGATGGATCTGAATCTATGGAGTTAAAATGCTGGAAATATGATTCAGACGGGAGAATTGGAACTTGAAACAATCAAAGATGGATAAATGAAATAGAAAACCAGACATACGGGATGTTTAATGTGTATAGGAAACTTGTCATCGACGTCAAATTCCTCATCTGGTGCCCATGCAACAATATCCGCATGCTTTCCAATAGCAATAGCTCCCTGTAAGATGAAAACAATATTTTCTCATCTTCGGAACAATTTCATTGATGAATGAAATAAAACGGAGTGTGACAATCAACACCTAAAGGTGTACTACAAAATAGTCCAATCAGAAATTAAAGATAAACTGTAAGTAGAAAATGAATGCATAGCATGAAACTACGGATAAAGAATCCTAAAAAATCTTCCATTTCTTTCACTCCAACGAAACCATATGGCTTTTTAGTGCAAACCATAAAACCTTGTTCACTCCATGGAAAGGATGTCCCATAAATTTGGAGGCAGTGTCAAAGAGTAACCAAATGCAGGAAGGATTACGTTCCAATAACAAGTAGCAAAGGAGCAATGCCCAAAAAGAATTAAAAAAAGGAAAATATAATATTTGACTTGAAGGGGCAATTGAACTTGCTATAATGTTTGTATTTGTACATGTATATGCAATCCTCCTACCACTCATAAAAACAGAACAAGTTATTTAGGCTATTTATTGTGATACAACTCACTATAGATTCATAATGCAACAAGCTCGCGAAGAAGACAATGAAATTATCCCAATCTACTCAGCCAAAAAGTCGGAACGTAAAAATTGATACTAGAAGTTGTAAAAATATTGTGACCTTTAAGTCTAGGCCAGCAAGCTTGGCAGGCCGCTCACTCCACCACAAAGCAAGTTGCTCTATTGTTACTCCACGTTTCTTTGCATGTGACCACGTTGCAGAAAGATCAAACTGCAAATTCTCAAGAAGAATTGATGTTAATATTGGTTACTTGACTGACAGTTAATTTTATTGTCTATGCATCTATTAAAGCACTAGCACACGGAATTCAAGTCTTTCCTTCAGTTTGTATCATATGGGACCAAACTATTTCAGTGGATATTCCACACGGAGCCAAATTAAATAATTCGCTTACAATTTCAAATATCTCCCAAAGGAGGTCAACATATCTTAAGTGGCAAGTAGTTATTAAGGGCATGGATATAAAAATGTGTGACAACCTAACTATCCAAATCCGAATAGAAAGACTGTTTATCAAAATCAGCGAAAAACTTAATTTTTAATCGATTTCAAGTATAATTTTCAAGTGTGCATATGCATGTTCCATGCCTAAGAGTGCGAATCAGCAGATGGTAGGGGGAGAATCAATAGTAAATATCGAATCTCAACCTGCAAAGATGATATGCCGCCCCAAGCCTTCAAGAAGTCCCCAGAATCAAGAAGCTTTAGTTCTGGCAAAGTTGGGGAATGGTCAGAACTTAACATGTCAATATGTCCTTCCTGTAATGTTAAAATGAAACAGGTGCAACTTTAGAGAAGAATTAATGGGAAACTATAGCAAGCAAGATCTACAGAAACACCGACCATTAGAGCCTCCCATAGTTTTTCTTTGTTGGCTTTATCACGAATTGGTGGAGCACACTTGAAACGAGTATCTCCATCTTTTATATCTTCCTCTGAGAAAGCTAGATAGTGGGTGCATGTCTCAACAGATACACTATCGCCATGCCTTTTTGCTTCCTGTGAAAAGAAGTGAAAATAACATTCTTCGTCCTTTTCCTTCAGCTACTCAAGACAGATAGACTATCTCTTGAACGCAGTAATACAGTACAAAATATATCGAATCCAATTGAACTACATTTGGATTCCCAACGTCACAGAGAAGACCACAGAAAACAATAAGAAAAAGCATTGCAAAATGGACAAACCAAAATTTCCTTCCAGAGTGACAACGTGTGGGTATGTTGAATGGCTTAATAAAATGTTATGTGCCCATAGGGGGTTGGGGACATGCATGCATTTGTAATAGTAAAAAGTACCTTAATAAGTTCTAAGGTAGAGCCTGAATCAGACAAGTGAGCAACGTGAAGATGAGCTCCTTCTGCCGGGCCACCAGGCCTTGTATTCTTTGTCACCGTTAAAAGCTCTCTAACAGCTGCCTCTTCCCTATTTAATGATACAAGAGAAAAATGGTAGCAAGAAATAGGGTTTACACAAATCAAAATGAAACAAAAGATTTTTTAGGACATATTTTAATTGTAGTTTGTAAGATGGTAACATGTGATGCTAAATGTGTTATCAACCTATAGATAGGGAAGACTCGTGGGTTTGGAATCTAGACAAGGGAGACATTTATGGTCAGCAATCTCTCAGTGGAAGCATCATCAAACTGTCCCGACTTGCACAATGTCATTTGAAGGATTTCTATCCGGAAAAAAAAAATCAGCTTCCTCCTTTTTCAACTCAGCCACATTTGCCTGAACACCCTAGACCGGTTACAAAAAAAAAAAAAGTCCCTAGATGGCTCTATCTTCTCTATGCTGCAATCAGTGTACAACAAATAGTGAGTTCCAGAAACATATCCTCATCCATTGCCTTTTGGCTTGGAAGATTTGATCTAATTTCCTCACAGCCTTTTGTTAAGATTGACGGTCCCTTTTGAGGTGCAAAATGGTAGTCTCTAATTCGAGTTGATCATCCTTTCAAGCTTGAGAAGAAGACTATTTGGCTACCGATCAATAGAACTTTCATATGAGTTGTTGGAATGAAAAAAATTCAAGAACATTCACTCAAAGTTATATTTGAACACATCTTTTCTCCCTTTTTTTTTTTTTTTTTTTTTTTTTTTT